AAAGGCAAAACTCGATGTGCCGTTCGGCTGCTAGTGGCCCCCAGGAAAGAACTCTCCGCCACAGTTTTCGTCCGCCCTCCCGCTTGAATGGGGTCGCCCTGGGTTCCCTATTTAGACCGTTTATGCCCCTCTCTCGCGATCACAATCGCTCTCATCTTGACTCTTTCCACTTCACGTCGTTGTTGGTAAGCTTTCTTGGCTATAGGTGTCATTCAATAAGTGCTAACGATGTTATGTCATATAAAATGGAATTCTTGTTTCTGCGTTTTTACTACAAATTGATAGAAGTTTATTTGTGGCAACAGATGTTCACTGATCGAAAAAGGCAAAACGACCGTTTGATAAGCTTTTTAATGTTTAAGTAAAATTTTATAACTGTAGTACACTTTTGAGATAGCGTGTTTTTTGAGACACGTTACCGAAAATCGAACACATTAAAAAATCGCCGCAAAAAAAAATATTAGGGAAGCTATTGGGAACTCTAAGGGTTAACTTTCAGTGATCTAAAGTTATTTAGATTTTTCTAACCTACCTCGGTTGTTCAGGCTTTCATTTCGCATGAAGTTAACCTGAACACCTTATATCATAGGCGTACCTGAGAACACAAAGTTTCGTGATAGGTTGATAAGATCTGTTTTATAAGAAACAGTTTGTTTCCATTGTATCGCATTTTAATGTAAAGTGTTCGAAAGGAGGTGGTGGGACTGCATGGGAAGAACTGGATTTAATACGTCCATTGAGAACATCGGCTGCCATGAGACCATCATAGTAGCATGTTCCTCAAGATCACCTACGTATATGCATCAAGGCGGGACTATCACAAGTGACTTTATGACGATGAAGTGATGAACTAAAAAAAAACCAGCAGTTGAAAGCTGGTTTTTCTAGAAGGGCTATGGTCGTAATTCCGGGATAAGGTGCTTCACAGTTATTGGAATCTGGTCAAAGGCTTTGTTGTTATAGGCTGCTTTCAAAACAATGAGTGGGCTTTACATGACAATTGTGCTACCTATGGATGTTTGTTTAAGAGGCCAAATTTACGGCTAGGATCCTTGACGTGGGTTATTCCTAGAAAATTTAGGTACCTAGCTTAACCATAGTACACAGCCAGACATAGGGTCACACAGACATAGACTGTGTGCTTCTTTTTAAAGGGTATCACGCAAGGCCTCAAAGAGAAAGGGGACTTTGAGTTTCGTTGTTGTCTTTTCCAAAACATCAATATCTAAGGTTTAACCAAAACTTCAGTTTTTTCGTCATGGTAACGTATACACTGTTAGTTCCAAAAGAGAGCCGCCCAAAAGCGTAAATAACCTTCGGATAGAGCGTAACTGTGTCTGACTAGCCGTTACGGAAATAATCAAAAATAAGTTGATCTCAAGTGAAAAATAATTACCTTAAGAAGTAATAATTGTCACACCTATGATATTTATTTCTCGGGAAGTTTTTATATAACGCATAGTGGAAAACTATGGGGCAAATCTGTGATTTCCTTGTAATTACGATCGTTTAATGCGAACTCCAATCTTCATATCGCTTTCTTAACATGTGTAACATATACCGGTTGAGCTCCTGCTAAAGAGTTTTCTAATTTATCTTGTTTGTGGACGAACTCCGAATGTAGCCTTGGATACCACAACGTGTCTTCAGTTGGAAACAAAATATTGACTTTCCATCACTTGTAAGTCGCCATCTAAACTCCTCAAATGAAGGGGGTTTGGATGGCCCTTTAACTAGAAAAAATGAAATGATAAAATACGTTTCTTTACAAATTTGTTTCCTCCTGCCTTGTGCCCAACCTATAGTTATTCGCGTATCGCGCGTAAATGATCATCATGGATGATGGTTGTAGAGCTGACGAAGATATTAAATATTACACGAAAAGATAATTTAAATATACCTGATTTAACACGTTAAACGTAATAACGTTTATCATTGATTGCCCCCAATATGACAGAATTAAAAAGGAGATTTTTTGTTTAAACTGTTTATTGTAAAACAGCATAAATGTCCATAGGGGCGTAGACGGAATATTTTCAGTCGTTCTGACGTCAGACTTAAACTATATATAACAATATTTTTCATATATTTATATTTCTTCGTGCTATATACAAGTTGCTGATTAGGATCTATCTGTATTTCAAGTGTTACATCTGAATAAGGCTTGTTTACTCAGCACGTATGATATACAGTCCGAAAAGCGGTATATAGCACAAGGCGTATCTATATATTTATACAATATTTACGTACGCGGAAAGCAGCAGTATGATCGTTTAATATCTCCTCTAATCCAAACTGAATTTGTCGTTCGCTTTAAGCTACGATACAGATCAATGCTCAACTGTTACTTAGATAAGTTCATTCCTATAATGGAAACATTAGTTCTAAATGAAAATCTTGAGCAAAAAGTTCTACTGATATATTTTCCTTTACTTCAATCAATTTCCACTCTGGCTCATCCAGTCATGTTTATAGTGGACAGCTTCATTATCATTGTAGCCGTAAAGTTCTGCTTCATATACGTCGCGCATGCTACGAGAGTCTTTATAATGGACACTTTGTAACTTACTGCGATAAGTGAATTATCAGTTCACTCGGATGAATGACGTTCTGTTCGCTGATGATGCGTCGTCAGTAAACTGCTCGTAAACGTCCACTATCAGATAGGTGCTCTGGTCTTTTATCGAATGATACGAGGACCTAATAGGTTAATGGCTCACCAGCGAACATCCTTTCATCCGACGTAACCGACTGTAAACGAGTCCAGCTGATATTGCGTGGACAGAATTAGAGATATTAGATTGGCCACAGCGGGCATACCATGCCTGAGATTAAAGTCGGATCCATTCTTGTTGCTGTGAAGCCTGATATAATGATGCTGCTTTAAACGCATTATCGATAAATTCAGAAAACACTAAATCTCAATCATTTAGGCTTTTTGAAAACAGGCCATATAAAACCTAAAGTTTGCCAAGATGTATTTGTCATTTAACACTATCGTATCTATCATTCTTCTAAGCAACAGTTCAAAATGATGTTACCAACCAAACCATTTTAGTTCCAAAGTTAAGTAACATGAAACGTTGTTGGTTTCCGCGAGGACACCCTAAATACATCGTGAGTTCAAGCTGCATTTAGGTACATAGCGACATTTCCACATATTTGATATTCTGGAAAACTCCTTCGCTTAAGATTTGTCCCGTTACAGTTGGGCCTTAGCGTTAAATCAGTACGTCTAAAAACCAATCTAGCATTTATAAGGGTACAGCTTACATATATAAGTTCTTGTTTAGAAGGTTAGGGCAAAGGAATACCTCCAAAGGTTAATGGACGACGTAGACGACCTATTTCCAAACTGCAAATTCCATTCCAAACCGAAACAGGAGCCTGCGGTTAACGTATATACACAGAAACTATTCCGTATTAATAACCGCCAGCCGTTAATACATTCAAAATTTTAGCGGTTGAAGGAGAAACGTATTTCTATTGGTTTCTGGGCATTCCGAACGAGCTTCTTGAGTTGAAACCCAACCATATCCATTTGGTTAAGATCAGCGATGGAACGGGACACTTCAGGAATTATCGATCACCCGCACCGATCGGTGTAGAGAATGGAGGTCGTCTGCGTTGCTTCCAAAGCAATATGTATCTGCATGATCGTTTCGAGAGCGATTTGATGGTTCTTTAAGTATTTTATGCATTGGAAATAAAAGCAATCTAGAAGAGATGTCTAGGTTCGAGAAATCTATAAGTACCGCTTTATTTTAGAAATGCAGAGATTTCACTGTTCAACTTAAGGTTCATTAAACTTTTATGTTGCTCAAGTTGCAATACCAGATATGTGGAAGAAATAGTATCATTAATTTTCCTTTTACTTAAGGTTTACCACAATATTTATTTTGGTAGAAGGACCACACGTTTAATTTACCCATTATGGTCCTACTATGGATATCCAGTGGCAATCGAAAACAGGAAAATTCGATTTACTACCTGTCTTGTAAACCCGATCCCCTAGACAATATTATTTACTGTGATATTATAAGAATATTACTCGGCTTCTAGTTTAATAAAATAAATACAAGAACTATATTTCAATGCTTCGAGTAGACTTAAATTGGAGCCGATCTGTATTTATTCTCTGAGATGATGTAGTCTGTCCGCTCTTTTGCCATATTTTTTAGAACCCATAATGTGGACAGCTTTGAATTTCTTTCATAAAAACAAAGTCTGGAGAGAAATAAGACAAGGACACCCCACCGTGAATAGGTTACAACGCTGACAAAAAGAGCGGTGTGATCTGAGTGGGCAATGCGCGTCACTTTGGCTGACTATAACTAACAGGTATGACGCCACAGCGGCTCAAGTCTTAGCGTTAGCGAGAAAGATTGCCATATATCACAAATAAAGGGAAAATGAATTAAGAACAATTAGTATTACTATGAAGGTGATTGGGCGCCTTGTCATCACCATGCCGTTTCATAGGTCCCCTCCACCCAGTTAAGACTAGGACCAAGCATACTTCATTCATACGCTTACTTCATTAAGCAGATGTACGCAGCTCGAATTTATACTGGATGGTAACTGATATTCCGCTCTCTGAAGTTAAAAATGTCGTTTTCTGTATGAGAAACTCAGATGCATCAAACTGCTTTTCTGAGCCCCCTTTTGATGAGTTTCTATTTCCCTCAAATCTAAACTTTGTTGAAGATCTTTCGGCTTGCTTTATGAAAGTCTAGATTAGATAGAAGTCAGAATTTGCATGAAAACTGAGAACAGCTGCACACTGTCGATTTCAGGCAACGAAAGAAAAATTTTAGTCTTGTTGACGCTTCGCCCAACGCAAAGAAGGTCGATAATAGATGATCTTTGCTCAAATGATGAGAACGACACGGTTTCTTCAAAGAGTAGAACAGAATGGTTTCAACATAGATCCAACGTTTTTTTTATTTATTAGGGCTAAAGGTCCAAAATATGTTTTAGCGTAAAGTCGCTCATTTATGGTTAGGCGCACAATGTTCAACAATCCGGTAAGCTTTTTCTTGGAGAGGACAATACCTTCCAAGATCCACGGCCGCCTCGACATTTACGACGAGAACTAGGTCTTGATTGTGGTTCTCTAGAAATGAACGCAAAAGTAAGGACCTCCCTCAGACTTGCGTTGGCCTTGCGTTGTTGAGATCTACTCGTAGCTTGTTAGGTATTACGGAAAACAAGATACCCTTTAGAGGATATTGTAAACCTATAGTTAATACACGTGGACAGTATTTACCGTATCTAAAGCAGTCGGGGCCGATATTGGAAGTGACACAGCAGTAGAAATGCTAAGCCCCGGCCTTTTGGGCACTTAATCTTTGTACGAATGTGTCATTTCTGTTTGGAGATAATCGGTACTTCTTATAATACGCCTACTGCGAGATGAATCTTCTTTGCGAAACTTCTAATCCCTTATCTTGTGAAGATATTTTGTTGTCGGTAGGCATTCTGACATAAGTTTTGCGTGAGATTCGTAATTAAGCAATCAAATAATATTATTCGAGATATTGGTATTCCTTCAGTTTTATTGAGGAACCCGTTATCTTCTCACGCCAACGCTGCAGAACCACAGTACGCCATTGTGTCAGTCGATAAGAATAGGCAGCACGCATCGTCATTGGTACGCCAGACCATTGCACCTGAAAGGAGAGATGCACAGACCCGACAAGAAAACACAATAACGATATTGATTAATCCGAACGATAGTAACACCCCGGATTTTTCTTTTCTGTGCCGCGTTTATCCAAACAAGAATAAATACTATCAAATGAAGAAATACCCAGGTGGAAGGAATGGCGCCAAACGGAATTGCAGGATGGCAAGGTTAGGCACATATATCGTAAGGAATAAATGCCCAACCTACAACACAAAGCCTATATTTGCAAACTAATCAACATGTCTGTGTGTTAGCAAACTGCACGTTGCTTTTTACTCAATTACAATTCATCTCACCGTAATGCCATACATATTACCGTCCCGATATGCTATATAGCAAGTTTTATATGGAGAAGACGAAGAACGATTATCGTAACTACGGCTTTATTCATCGCCTATATATATATATATATATATATGTATATATATATATATATGCATAGATCAATAGTATAGAAAAAGAAACGTCAACATGTGTTACCTAGCTAGTGATGTACGTTCAGTATCGTCTATTTTACTCGTATGTTCAAGCGGGAAAGCTTTCCTATAGCAATAATAACTTACTGACTCAGATATTCAACTTAATTCCGTACTGATTCACGATTTATTATGAAAAGCTTTATTAGGAAATGACAACTTGCCAGTCGAAGCAGCTATCTTGGTACAAAGGCTGCCGCCGTCGACGGAGACGTCAACTGAAAAAGAAGTATTAAAAATGTTTCCCCCATGGAACGCTGAATACTGTGCATATTGTGTACAGATTGTACGTCGACCATTGTATCTGAGGCCGCAGCGCAGAAATGCATCGCGCTGGCTACTTTGAAGACGTATGATATTCAAACCTTAAAAACGAATAATTATATCTTCTGTCTCCCCCATTTGAAGCGTCAGGACTTCCGCTTCGAATTTCCGTTCAGGAAGCAGTATAAACAGAAGACTACCAGTTGAATTAATCGTGTAGAGCGTAACACTTTAAACGTGAATGTTCATTTCCGTTGTAAACTAAGTGTATTGTGTAGGTTGTTTACAATAATACCATTGATTAGTTGTCCTTTCGGCGGCGCTTTTCATCGCAACGTCAACTTCGTCCTTCAAACCCACGCAGCCCGTCTCCAGAAGATCGAAAGCTGTCAAACAAAATATTATCCTCTGTAGAATTTGCGAACAAAATGGGCTCAGGTGTTTCAATTCGATTCATTTGAAAATCGTAAATTTAAACAGAAGTCCAATTAAATCCTGTCCAGTTCTGCTGTGGCACGCCGAAGTCCCTCACAGGGTAGATCGATGGAGTTTATGTAGCTAGGTAGGTATTCAGCAGTTCATTTAGCTCGATGAGGTGCGTCGTAGAAGAAAGGGCTTGAAAGATGCCACAGCTACGACTGACCACGTCGGTCATATCACTGTAAAGGTTAAGTTCGAGCAAAAATTTGTTGCGAGGTTCAGCTGACCAAAAAGTCACTTCTCGGCTAAATTACTACACTAATTAACCTAAGAGGTAACTTCAACAAATGTATAGAAATACCTTAACCGGAAGCAATTAAGGATAGGACTACTGAAGCTAGAATATCTACCATCCTGTCATCAGTCGTGTAACAATCTTAATGACGCGACTAAAATAGACCGGCTTGTAGTTTACACAATTATAGAGAGTAAGCGAAGTTTTAAGTGCAGTAAACCCGTAACTAGATTGATGAATGGCAAGGCATAACTTGTTACACAGGCAACGATATTAAAGTGGTGTCAATCATCTCGATCGTTTCGAACAGATCTTGTGTATTTAAGAGAAATCATCAGAGACCTGTTGCAAGGACGATGTGTTAAAGGGAAGAACACTACGATTACGTAAGAAAACAACTTTCTTTGTTCAAACAGGTCGTGTAGGATGTGTCTTGACTAGAATATAAATAGAAACTCATTTAAAGGGTTAGAAAACTCGTAGCTCCGCGCATAGAAGCTGCCCGCAAAAGAGTGCAAAGTTGAACAGTGGGAAAGCTAGCATGCTTGCTGGCGCCGCGAATCAAATTTTATTATAAGCATAAGCGCTTTTAGGGAACGATAAGGTTATGTAGTACCGATTTCTATATTCTAGCAAGGAAATATTGATTTAAGACTTTAATATTATCGAACTTTTTTAGATGTGAACAGGTTAGAAATGTGGTACGATTCTGATCTTTGGCCAAATGTCAAGCTAAATCGTCGTATTTTCAACCGTGTAACGTACCACAAATGTCAACAAAGTGAGACATTTCACCACAGTTGATAGAAACGCTAACCAGTTTTTTGATAAAACGCGTCATTCCTGCACCACAATGTTATCCATATATGCTCTACATTATGAATATTCATGATCATAAATTAGAATTCATGTGGATGCATCATACGTAACCACAATGGTGAAATGAATTTTATTGCGGTTGACCTTAGAAAATAGTTGGGTGCTTTTCTTCAGTTGCCGAACTAAATGGAACTTGTGGTTAAACATTCAAAAGCCGGCTTTATACTGCCCAAGAGCACCTAACGTCTATTAACGATTGACAAAACTTATTTTTTTGATTGCTTAACTTGGCGTTGAATAATTGTAACGCATAGGCGTTTCTAGGCATAGTCGCAGCCGGTATACTGGCAGCTGTTCTGGCGACGACCTCGTGGCCAAAACAGGCCAAATAAGGCTGCACATATTCGTTGCTTCGGGGTTTCCTGTAGCTCTCATATAGACGGGGCGAACCCCACTGGAAGATCTGACCCAAATTTAAATACTGATGCCCAGCTGTCCAACTCTTCGAGGAAGCACGCTCGCCATTCAAAATGTGCAAAACAGGACACCGCTAGACCCTCATAGAGTATTTTTATTTTTTGAGGTTTGTGTAAAGAAAATGGGTTTAACTCAAGGTGTCGCCAACCTTCACAGGATTGCCATAATCTAGATATTCTTTAAGGAAGGCTGCTGCCAGTAGGGTTGCTTAAGGATGTCTACCAGAAATAACCATAGTAGTCAGAAGCATGGGACGAATTATGAAATAGATTGTTCTCTACCAATGGAGTAGTGTTGCTAAGGTCTTCATTGTAACAAATGAGTAAGTAATTATCAATATTTGTCACTCGTTACTAATACAATATATACTGTAAAAGTGAACTGACCTAGCTATGGGGCGTTCACCATCAGCTCTGAGCGCCAGCTAATTAATATGATGGCCTTTGAAGCTTAGGGTTAACGTCGAAGCCGATAGAATTACTGAATAAGACAGACGTCCAATTAATGCTACGATAGAGGTACTTACCTAGTGGTATAAAAGCGCTAGGTAACGTGCACGTAGACAGCGAAAAACGCCTCTATTTCCAGACATTAATGGTGGCAACAATACAAAGGAATCTGCCCCAAGGAGGACGAGCTCAGTATTAGCCTTCACACTCGAATGATTGTCTATGATTGTTAATTGTGTCTAGAGCTTCAGGGTGAATGCACTTCAAGTCTATATTGAGGCCAGCTACACTTCGATTGTTTTACGCAATGCTTGCTACCTATTCATATTACGGGAACCCTGTTATCCCATGTGGCAAAAAGGACGGGCGCCATTTCGTCTTTGGAAATTGAACTCGCTTGTTCCGGAGGGCTACATAGGCCCTATATGTTGCCCATTTTGGATTATTTGCTGTTATCAGTTCAATTTAATTGTTGATTACAAATATAGAGCAAGACTTACCTTGGAGCATACAGATTAAGCAAACGGATAGATTAGATCGATTAGAGTTACGATCGGATAAATTACAACTTTTTCTTATACCTAAAGGAGGCTAATTAAAGCCCATAACGTATATATGAGTAGCGCATTTGAGTGGCTCAACTTAAGTAAGCATTTTGAAGTGATACTCGTGAATTAGCCAAAGTATAAAATACAATAGTTCAATTTTAAATTAACCACTTAAAAAATCAGCTCGATTTAGCAGGAGGGTAACCATAGACGGATAATGGGGTTTCTAATCGGTGGTCGATTTGTTGTTTTGTCATTTTGTTGATCTTGTAGTTTTCATTTTTCGACAAACTCATAGCACTTAATTATTAGAAGAACCATTGAATTGCTTCAATCTGGGAGTCTGAGCTAGTCGAAGCATTGGCCAAGGCGCAATAGGACGTGAGACGGTTTATGGGTAAGTATTTCAATTTAGGTAAATACGTCGAAATCAACGTTGAGCGAACCTTCTTTTGCTGTCTTATCGAGTTTACGAAAGTTACATAGATAATACTTTTCTAGAGTATACACTGGAACTAATAATGACAATATACACTAAATAATGACTGATAATCTATTTCCAGAATAAAATCAAACATTTCTAGGGATAAATTTCACCGATTCTAAAAACAACATTCAACACGGTATGGAAAAAGCCATAATATTTAACTCAACCGAGGACACGTCTACCTGTTTAGCAGTATATGCGATGATCTCACAGTTTAGGAAATGGGCCCTAGCTACTAGAATTAAATTAAATTAAATGAAAAAAAAAAGATAGAAATCGAGAAATAAATGTTGTCATAATATCAATAAAACGAATATTGACAATTTGCCTTGATAGAAAACGTAAATAAGGAAAACGGAGCGGTTTTTCTATAGCACAATAAGACTATCGTAAATACTAATACTCCCCAGTGTTTATCTGCTTGTACAGCAAGGCAAAATTGGACGCCACTTAATTAATCTGACGTGCTACGTTGGCGCTGTGTGGTTATACAAGTTGCGCACGTAACGCGTCGTGTTGGTTCTTACTCACGTACATTTGCGAGTTCTAATTCAATGCTTTGTGCCCCACTATAGCACAGATGTCTCCTGTAATCGTTAATGCAAAGTAATGAAAATATTTTGTGCTTGTGTTTAACTAGTCAATGTAAAAGTGCAAAGAAAACATTTTTTTGAGTGTTAATAATGTTTCTTTGAAAACATCCGACTCATCTAGCTTAGATTGGTGAGCAAACACGGCGAAGAAGGAATCAGCTCTAAATTGAGCTGAGTCGGTATTGTCAACTGCTGTAGTGACATAATAATGCATTTAAAAGCTTTGTCCTTGCTCTATATGTTTGTCGGGACAAACGCCGCAGCCAGCGATGGGCATTTATGGGTCCCTAGGGGTACGAGGGGCTTTGAAAGCCTATGCCCCGCATCCGCCGATCCGCGCATTGGTACCTGGAATAATGGCAATATGAGTGAGGTATGAGTGCCTTCTGAGCATATTATATAGATATATATACATATATAAACAAGCGCGACTTCAACGTGGACATGAACGAGTAGAAATAACATGCATTTAGGTCATCAGGTTCATCCAGTGCTCATTCTCGTGAACTGTCGTGGGAAAAACGATACGTAGCCCTTGTGACGCGAGTTTATCTGCAAGTGTTTTTTTGCACACTTAATTCAAGTTGGTTTGAATTATGTACTTCATCATTGTGCTTTGCAAGTTTGCCATACGAAAAGTACGATTCGCTGGTCGTTTTACCCTATATTGCTTTGTTCGATCGAATTTACAATATTCTATCAAAGTTCTGTTTTTTTCCTTGTTATCTATATGGTTAGATCGAGATAATGATAGTTTTTCTTTGTCTGATTGTTGATTAGACTTCCTTTGTCGCCTTCCCTGATATCAGATTAACACAAGCACACGACTTCATTATCTCACTTATTCATTATTATGAATCACAAACAGGAAGAGACGAAGCTGACTTGTTTCTTTGTCGTCTACTTCACTACCAATCTATACTATTGCTGGCTGTGAGCTATTTTTAATCGCCCTGGTTGCAGGTCGTCTAAGAATATCGGCAAAAGCGCTAAACTTAATTGCTTTATTAGCTGTCTTTTTATCTTATTTCCCATGGGTACTCTACGCTTACTAAGGTTTCTCCTAGCACTGTTATTACTTAATATTATATTAACAACGTGGTTACCTGCACAGCTGGACCAGCCTCCCTCTCAGTTCACCCCATCTCACAAGATTTTCAGAACACCATTGATTGGGCACAAAAATTGTATCCGTCCATATATCGCCGTCAATATTCTATAGGAATTATCGCTAAGTACATCTGCATTGTCAGCTATTACGTTACTTGTACTAATGTGTTACCTGATATCGTTTTCCTAGTGGGGGATCATACACGCGCAGATACGACACTAAGCCGATGGTAGTTCTTTCAAGACCACTCAATAGGGCGCAACGGCTCTAGACATCTGTATATTGTGAGCTTCTTTTTAAATGTGTATAATAATTATAACGTACAGTCGTATTTAACGTGCATATGGACCCGAAGATCGCGGTGCTTTGCGTGGCGGTAGGACATGAAAAAACATGAAACAATAGTGACGCGTTACGAAGCTGCTGCGAAAGGGAAGACATCTATATGTACGTAAAGGATTTGACGTTGAGCAGGACTTTTGAGAGATATACGCACAGCGAACTCTGTTGCTGTTACAATCCGTTCTTTCATTCTCTCTACCAGCTGTAAGCTTTTAAACAAAACGATTTTACCCCAATCTGTGCGTGGGTGTCTCCGTCAATCTGTGTTTGTCCTTGGCTGACGTTTGTGTGATTACGAACCGTAGGACGGTGTCAATGCGCCGGTTTACCGTTAGACGATTCTTTTACTATTGGTCCTAAAAACGTTGGCATTGTTAATCGTTCGGTGGCCTTTGTTGTGACTGCTGTCGCCGCTGTCGTTAAAATTAGTTAACATGAAATTGACGCACGTTGGAAACAGCGAATGGAATAAAAATGAGCGAGTAGAGGCAAGGGCTCATTTGATTTATGAACTTAACAATAACGCGCACAGCAGACGTTGGCCTGGCCTTCGATATAGGTAATTTATTATTATTATATTCTCCCAAACGGCTTCCATCAGCCTCAGAGCCTTGACCTTTTCGTTCTTATTCTTTTTTCCTAGAAAAGTAAGAAAGAAGCCATCAGATGCCGTCAGAGCGATTGGCTAAAACGGCTAGAATTGTCTGTTTCGCGCGGCGAAATCATGATGTCATATGAGGCTGGTCTGTTTGTCGGTGCTGGTATTTTCACGAGCTTACTAAGATACGCTGTCCGTTAAGATGGTTCCATCCGGCCGGATGGAGCAATTTTTTCTTATACCCGCCGAGTGGCCTGCGTTGTGCGTGTGAGCATTTCATTAAATAGAGTGCGCAAACGATAATAATCCATAACGATGGTAATAATAATAATAAAATTTGTTATGGTCCGTTAAAGATCTGTTCATTCACGTTTCAGAGCTCGCTGTTCAAACACGTTAGCCTGGAACAGGCGATTCTACTAGCGGGTGAAACAGTGCTCACTAGAAGTTTGCATAAAGCTTACAGTCAGGTAATCAGAATCGGGACTTCAATCATTAGTTTGGATTTACGACCGACTATTTCGATTGCCCTCTGATACGATGGTGCTTTTTGTTAAACGAAATTCTTACTCCAGAAAGAACCGCCACACATATTCTCACAGCCTTGCAGGCAAAGCAATACTTGACTGATTCAGCGACTGGTTTGGCCTGACTTTTGCAGGAGCTCGCCAACTATAGAAAATCGTGGTCAATGTCCCAGCACGTTCATTATGTATGTGTGAGAATTAATTTAATTACCTAGATATGGACAAATATACAGGCCATTGGACAAAGCTGAGCCCAACGTTGTGTTACGACCCTTTGGGCTACGGACTGTCTGTAGGTAGCCCCGATATTGAATCGTTAAGTCAATATATATAATATAATATATAAACTTTGCAAAAAAATTGAGCTAAAAAAAAAATATGAAATGTTTATTTCCATTGTTGACGCTCTAACATTTCATCGATATTCTAGATCGATGGTTGCAGTCTTTTTGTCTACCTGGACAATATTTACAATATTATTGTCAATTTTCGTTTAATTTTATTTATCAAGTAGCTTATGCAAAAATATATTAGCACGCTACTACAACGATCCTAGGAATATTTCGTGCGATAAAATGGTTCCAGATAATGTTTCGGGTAGAGCAATCCGATCAGCAGGTTCTGGCAAAGCTTTCAGCACTTCAAACCGCGGTTTTACCAAATCCAGGACAGAAGAAACGGAATAAATTACAGGTAAGCCCATTTCCTTTGACACTTGCGTGAAAAACACCCAAGAAAGGCACTTTTCATAAGAGCTGATTGAATATGCCTAGATATGTTATTCCTACTTCACTGTATTTCTTTTAAAGCAGTTTAAAAGCATCTGGCCTTACACCTCGGTGTTCTTCATGGTACCATGAAAAATTGAAGTAGCTAGCATTTTTTTAACTTTTGCATCAGTACTCTCATTAAAGTTACACCCGTTCCTGTATATCCCAGTTGGCTTCTTGCACTAGCCTATCTCACCGATTAGAACTTTCAGTTAACTGTAGCAAGCACGGCAAAAATTTGTACCGCATATTGAACATATCTTGCATAGCAGGTGTGATACCTCGTATATGGTTCAAGAAGCTGGAACGACAGTATGTGGAGAACTTCAGATCTACCAGACCCGAAGCAATCCTCTGCTCAGCTTGTCAATGGCTACTCAATCTAGAAACGCATAAATATATTTTGGCCAATTGTATCAGTTTATCTATTAGCGATCTGATATAATTTCCAGTTAGAACAAGGCGCATGGACATGCACCGAGTGATCAAATTTAACGATCAAAGGTCAACAGCAACGATTGCAAAATAACTACTGTTCGAAGCCGGGGCAATTTTTTCCAGCATCATCTGAAGCACGGTCGTCCATGGTCACTATACCCTAAGAGAAACAAAGCGACAGAAACTAATCCTCATATCGAATTTCCAAAGCGTAAAACGTTGAAATCCAGAAGATCACCGATGGACGACGGACAAGCCAATGACGAACAGAAATCCGTAATACCTCGGCGAAAACGGCAAAAGGGGCCTCAAAAGCGGTCCCCGCAGGGCGACTGCCCTAGAGGTGGAAAAGCCAGCGCTGATACGCGGCTTACCTACAGCTGGGTTCGCGCCCCGCGATTACCTCCAGCAGTGCCCATTTCGGATTTCCGGAAGTACATTTGCGTCGTATACCCTTTTGTGGAACAGTTGCTTAAGGCCAAGGCCGACTATGCACATCACTATAAGGAACGATTATACAAACTGTTAAATCATCTGCGAAAATTGACAGAGGACAGTCCCGTCAGTGTTAACAAGGTTCGGCGTCTCAGCACATTATTTAATCTTTTCGTAAATCCGATACTAATTCACCTGCCAAGAAGTAACCAGATGTGTGAAGATGGCCAAGCAGGCGTTGAGCTTCAGTTTGAAAACGATCGCCTCCACGTGACGGGACTGAATAACACGCTATGGGATTTGGATTGGAGACACGGGCTTCCTCGTAAAGCCGCTATGAGATGCGGAAACCAAGTAAAGTATTTTGGGTTGAATGACTTTTATATGCAGGTCGAACGTAGCGACGGCTGGGTGTATGTCATGTTTAATGAACCTTTCAGCGATATTATACCGGTTGTTCTTGTGAGGTTACTTGGCCCATTTTTACCAAAGTATCCCAGATGCGACGGTCACTTGAAAAATCCTGCCGATTGGAGATGTTGTAATGTTCCCGATAAAGGAAGACCTATTTCACAATAAAATTGTCTTACTTATTTGAATACACACAACAATTTCTTGAAAAGTTCCTAACTAGAAAAAATCTAGCAGATGATACCTGTTGTTAAAAAAACAACTAACGCTAATTTAATTGGTTATCGGAAAAAAAACACGCTCAAGCTAAACCAACCAATATTCCCTGTTTTCCATAGTTTTTGTACAATTTCTGCGTTTGCTTCTACCATAGATCCAGCGTAGCCCATACAGAGCCGCTCAACTCAGCTGCGAGCAATCTTTACGCCGCTGCATTTTTTTTAACGGCCGCCTTTATTAAGTGATTCGAATGCTGTGCAAGAACGTGTATTCTTGGGCATATTTCTACCGCCACAATTTTGTAGACAGTGTTAAGAATACGTCCCGTCATGCCATCTCGCATAGTTTGCCTTTCGTAGCGTATAAGGTTGTGACAGGCACTTCGGGCGGTGTGTCGGCCAAAAGAAAGACACAGAGCGAAAATCCGTTATATATATATATATATATATGTATGTATAAAGCGAAGACACTGAAACTGATCACGATTTTTTTTAGACTGTTCAGAGGCCTTTGGCCGAATCCACGCACTGAGTGAGTTCCGGTCACTTGAAACAACGGCGGCTTTTATTGACATCAGAAAGTGATTTTTCTGGATATCATATAGTTTACGATTCCTATTGCTTTTGCATTAGCGCCTCTTCTTTCGCGTCTCCTATCTAGATTCCCACCAGTTGTCCGATATCATAGGTGAATGTCGCTAATATAGTCCCCGTCACTAGTGAATACGGATTTACCTACCGCAGACGCTAAAATTCCTCAAACATCGTGATGCAAAGATTTTCAAAACTAATACAAACATATATCTTATTAGATAAAACATCAATTTTCCATAAATAATATCCTTCTTCGGCTAGAAAGGTGGCATGAAAAATAAGCTTCAGAAAATCTCGTGCGTTCCACTATTTCTCTACGTGTACAGGCTATTATTTGTGATTCATTGGGGCAAAGTGATCAAACTCTTATACGGTTCTCCACAGCTGCTATAAATCCCGCGGATCGCGTTTCATCGATACTTTGAGGGACGATACAGAATCTTCTTTCTTTATAACTTCCTATATTCCTCTATTATCTACATGTTCTTCAACTATACGTGCAGTGGAATCTTTGGATGAGAAAGCCGGGGGGGGGGGGGGGCTAGTTCGAACCACGCTTATGATATATTCTATACGATACGTGTGATTAAATAATGAAGCGTTCGTTTCTCCAAATATTCCTTAACATTCTGTCGATGTCGACTTCTACCATACAATTTCATCTTTTATGGCTGATTTATTGAAGACAGTAACAACTTGCCTTTAACCACTAAATGGTGCCATACCCGTTACCAATTGCTGCCTCATATCGGTGAGTTGGATAGTAGGTTTCCATCAGTTCCAGACAAGTTGGTAATCTCAGGAAGGTTATTTGAATGAAATCGCAGGCGGATAACTTTTAACTTAATACATATAGTTATTTAAGCACATTAAGTTGTTGGCAGTAAAAGAAACTGTACGGGATTGAAAGAGTTGTTGAACATATCCAGTTGCGTTGTTTTAAGTACAGGACGATGATTCTTTTTTAAGCAGTTCAAATAGAATTTCACATTGTAAAAATACAAATAGAATCATGTGCTACACAATACATGTGTCTTGCTGTTATATTACAGGTGTTGTCAGAATTGAAGCTCGTAACCGATATAGCCAAAAAAGCCGCAGAACGTGATCGGACCTTGAGTCTTTTAAAGCCCTACCTACACGAAGGTTAAGCTCTTTCCGCATTGAATTTTCTCCTGCGTACGGAATACTACGTGTTAGGCATTCTCCACTGGGGGGAAAGATTGATCAAGATTTAGAATTATTTACATACTAGGGTGTTTTCATGTTTATACGTAGTGTAAAACGCTCTTCTAGATAGCATCGTGTGCCTGTAGAGAAGGCTTGTAACAACAAACCGCCGTAATAATCTGCTGGCATATGAAATCTCAAAAAGCTATCATCACTTCAACGTCTTATCATTCCTGAGCAGCCAAACCCTCAATGCACTAGTTTAATTTACCAATGTGGCCTTTCAAATGAATATTGAACGGAATAATAGAGTGTTTTCTATATGAATACGTATGCACTCCAGGGGTTGCTGGTTCGAGCCCCGCCAGCAACGTATACTAGACGGCAGCTATGATTAAATGAAGAATCCCACGAATGCGAGCGGCTCATAATCGTAGAACGATTTTGCAGACGCAGATCAGTCCAGTGGCTTGAACGGCCTCGAATTAGTTAGCGAAATAGAGTTCGCTTTCTACCGAACTGACCGCCCGCCATAGAAGGTTAAATCAGGCCCATTTTGGCCCCCAACCTGTGTGTTATGTTGTTATATTAATAATAATAACTGTATATATGCTCTATTTATACTAAATAGTTGTTAGAATGTGCTTCGTCGAATTGGTTACAAGATTGTTCAGAAGCATTCACCTTAAAGTTTATTGAGGAGTATCGTTTTTCAAGGCTCTATTTTCCTTCACCCATAAAGTCAATCTACATAGAAATTAATGCTCTTTTATAAATCTGAATTATCAGATAATATAATATAGAATAATCAGGATCTTTCTCCTTTTCAGGTCCACTTCGAATTGCAAGCAGGTTCATCAGTTACCACTGGGATAATGTTGCAGTTTATTTGTACAATTTCTATTAGATTGAGGTAAACGAAGCTCGACAAATTGAAACGTATTATGTATTCAAGTTATTTTGTGCTTACCTTCTTCAATGTGTACTTGCACATATTTTATGACACACAAACCGTCAGTTGTCAATTGGCACGTTTCATCTCTACTATCTCTATTGTGGTTATCGAACCTCGTTATTTTTTTCTCGATTACTTTATTTTTTTTTAGACCGCCCAATCTGTCATAACATTCATTCGAAGCTCTTGTATACTGATAATTACCTGTTTACGATCTCGAGGATGTCTTAGGCTTGTTTCGTAGCTGATAAAGAGTCCATAATGTAGTGTAAGCGAAAAGCTTAATGGGCATTTTTCTGCGCGAAGAACACTGTTTTCTATGGAGCAGTGAAAGTGTGATTGCCTGAAGAAACATTCTTCAAATAGCTTCATCTCAGATAAATCAATTTTTGTCTACAATCTACAGCAGGCAATTCAATTATGAACATTTACGTATTCTGATGAAAAAATGTTTAGTTATATGAAAGTTAGGTGTGGAAATACTCGACACATTTTGGCTTTTCTTAAAGGTGTTTTGTATACAGGATCATACATTTGTTTGCAGAATAATTGTAATAATTGTTTATAATACGTGGAAATGTGTTTTTTTTTTTTTTTTTTCACGCCGTTAGCTGCTAATGGTTTGCTGGGCATGTGTGCCTCTTATTTTACCTATCGTTCTTCTTATTGTTTTGAATTCTACGTTCGGTACTACTCCAACTGGCTTTTGTGTTTGAAATGGCTGGCCCTATCCAGCACACAGCGAAGTGTATCTTTACCCAGTTTTGAACCTGAGTGCCACTGCACCATCAAAGGGACAAATGTTCATCATCTAGCCTGCTCAAGGCTCTGTGGATAGAGAGTACTTTGTCATATTGACGATTCAAGCGGAATCACTAGTCAAGCAGTCTACCCCAAGTCTATATATATATATGGACTTGGTTAATATAGCTTTGGACTGAGTTCCCCTGTACTCGGAACGGCTATAATAAGCGTCATCCGCAGCAACAGTCGCACGATTACCGCGACGGGGACTGCGTCCGCAACTATTGACTGCACAACGGTATTCTTCAATTTTGCCAAATAGCTTGCCAAAAAAAACCTAGATACTTGTAAAGATCGTCTAGGTTCAACTTTGATTCTATGCATACTCCTAAGTCCATCATTATCGCATCGACACAACGAATCCATTACTAATTACTGTGAACTTATTTTTCACAGTAAACGGTATTATATATTATAGTATCTCTAATAGCAAACTGCAGTGTTTGTGCAAAACTTCCATATCGGAGAAAGCCCTTACAAGGGAAAAAAAAAAAAGGGGGCAAAGAACTTACAAGGGCATAAAAACGTAAAAGCTCGATGCCGGTGGCCAAAGCACCAGGAACCGATTTATGCCTTGAAGCCTAAAGATAGATAACGCAAAAATTGAATAACAACTATCTATTAGACTACTCTCCTATCGAAGTTACCATGTGCTATTTGCCAAACACGATGGCGTAGCTTATAAATTAATTGTTCTTGAAGCTATTAACGATAACTTCGTTCGTATTCGTAACGATCCTAGCGAGGCCCACGAGTTGAACGACAACGATATCTCGCAAGAAGTAAAATTTTTAGATCCTTTAGTTGCTTCGTAGTGCCAATTCCACCTCAGAAAAGGAAAGATGAAGAAATTGAAAAAAAAAAACGTTTCTGCGACGATGAAACAATATACAGTACAGTGTCTTCTTCCGATTACAAATCTTTGTCGGAATGTTGTTTCATTCTCTGTGACATTGTCATGATTGTATAAAAACTTTAACGCAGTTAAAAGTAAACTCCCTGTTTGAATCATTGGGCAAAGCGCCGCCGTTAAGCGATGCCGGAGCTATAATCAACTGATCAGATTTAAATTTACACCTTTTGCTTACTAGCGCCGCTTAACAATTGTACCCTACCTGTCAACGCGTGTTCTTCTGGCTTTGAAGATGGAAGTTACATTGTTGGTAAAATACAGCCTTGCGTTGTGAATTAATGCTCGTCAATATTTTCCTACAACTCAATCAAACTATGCTGTAAATTTGCCGCAATCATAGACAGGAAATTCCGGCATCGTCTTAGTTGATAAGACTGAATAGATTATATACTTATCGCATAGTTCCATTAGTTACTAGTCTGAGCAGCAGTAGCAGCACCCCCGTTTGTCGCAGCCTAGCCCTTTACAACACTGTGCTCGTCACGTCACAGGCGAAATCACTCATTGTGAGGTTACTACGACACCTTGACATGTTGGATAAGCGCGACCATTTGGAGAAAGAGCTGGACTGAACTTCGAGCTCTAGTCTCAGAGATTTTTTTTTCGAACGATTTTTTGGTTGCACAGATGCGTCTTCAATTCGTCCTATAAATTTGCGAACGGTACCCAAGCAAGCTTTTTTTTTTTTTGCCGAAATGATGTCTGGCTGTGGACTAACATTTAGCACACAGAGGAAAATATAACGTCAAATGGCAAGCCTCACAATGAGATCAGAAAAGAAAACTAATTTCACACCAAGCAACGCTGTTGTGCGAAGCTCTGATGGCCTCAGACACTGAGGACGGTCGCGATCAATCGGATTCGGAGCCAGCTCAATATTGAAAGTGATTAGAAATGAAAACGTGGAACGTTTGCTAATTGCGCTAAGTTTTATCCAATGGCTATTTCGGTCAAACTCTTGTAATTTCAATAGACACACTAACGAAAGTATCAGTATGTACCGGGTGCGTGTGAGAATCGTTGATATGTTGAGTAAAGCAAGCACAATTATTTCTGTTGTCAAATCTTTTACGCAAGAGAAAATGTTCAAATCGTGGATGGGGGATTTAACGGTCGTGCCGCGAAGTGCGGGGTTGGGGGCAAGGTTGTCCATTTGGATTCAATTGTTTTGCTCCCTACAAACGTATTGCATTTTTGGGGTAGCTGGGATCGTTAATTGCTTTTATTGCATATTGATTATTGTAGCTCAGAGTAATTCTCGATGACGCTGGTGAGCTGTCATGTATGGGAGTTTGTGGTTAAGCTCGAACGAAGAATTGCTAAAAAAATTGCCAAGGCCTGCATCGAAATCGCCGGGTGGACAAAGAACAGATGTATGCTTTATCCTGCTGTGTATGTTTTTTTTTCCGCGCGCGTGACGTTTCGAGCATATCAGTTCGCGTGCATCGTTCCGCAGTGATCGGAGCATCGGCCAGCCTCGCCCTGCAAAATATGCACCATGAACACTATACAAGGAAATGGCCTCCGTTTGTTTAATAAAGAATCTAGCTTGTCACTTATAACGATTCTAAACAAACAAATAAGATAAATTCATATGAGGACGAACTAAATTGTTGGATAGGTCTCCGGTGCAGTTCCCCAACAGAAATCACGTATTGCGACTGGGCGTGTCGATAACGGCTTACGTACATCGCTAAGAACTAGATAAAAGAGAATACGGTGATCGGCTAGCACGATTCAACTAGCTCCATCGTCTGCCATTGTTATAGGACGTTGTCATAAGCGAAGCTACCACTGGGATGTGGTGTCTCCGTGACGGTGCGGGGATTTCGTATGTGCCTTCTCAAAGCCTAAAGCCTTGTTTTACAGCTCGTGTTTTCGTTTTGAAGACCTTAAGTTGTCGATAGATCTTGTATAGGTCCCATTATGGGCACATGTTGTATTGTGAACCCTTCAAGTAAGCTTAATTTAACGGCGCCTCGTAAACGATTACGTGAATTTTTCGAATATGATCGGTATCACGAAACATTTAATTCATAAGTCAGAATTTGGTTAGTATAAGGATACTCGATCAGTATAACGAAACGGATTGAAGAGCTAAGCGTTTCGTTGAAATAGTCAAAACAGACTAATTCTGTCTTCAAGCGGACGCCATCAGAGTAATTTGCATCGTGTGATTAATGCAAATCTAATTGTTTCAATACAGCCGGAAGATCCGCAAGTTTAATCTTCACATTTCTATTCTATGGCTAGCTACGTGAAAACTTAAGCATGCGGGTTAGACCATGTCCAGCTAATGCGACTGCACGAAAGTTTACATACAAAACATCAAGGATTTCAACTCTGTCACAATTGTTACCGTGTGTTGACAAGGCATTTCAGTGAAATGTGATTTGTTAGAATGGGCCGATCGAACGAACTGTTAGAAATTTGTTGACGGTATTTTAAGTTAGCGCAACTGGCAACTTCTAAGAACTATGCTACCGACTGGGTTGAAGGAACCAAAAAACAGGTCTGTCATCAACATCACGCGAGCGTCAGTGAAGAAGTGTGGGTCGAATTCTGGACAAATCGATTTTGTCTATTGCGTATAAGTGATTGTTCCTATGCTAGAGTGGCTTCCTTTTGTGACAAGCTTTGAATATGAGTTATCTCGTATGCTTGTGTCACCGTTACTATATTCATGTCCTGAGAATTTTCTTACGGAAAAAAAATCCGCTTTTCTGCTCGGTAGCTGCTCAATTGAATCGATTTAATATTATAGTAGAAACAAAGTATACTATACGACTTGGGTGGTGTTAGAACCAGTTTGCTAGCTACGAAGAACAAACTCATCTTACTTCTGGCCTAAACGGCTGGGAGAGATAATTTCCAGTGATGGTGTCGCCAAGTTATTGGACATGCCTATCCGTACAACACACTTCGAACTTTAATAAAACGTAACTACGACAAAGTTTTCCTTCCGTATCCGTACCGTAGGTGCTTGTCCTATCTAGTTGTTCTTTATCACTGTCTAGCGGAAAAACAAGTTCTTGACGCTGAGAAAAATTTGAAACGTTTTTATTTTGAGTTCTTGCTAAGGTGCGAGAAAGCCCTCGTCAACTATAATCATTTATATAAGAGTTAGTCTATTGTAGAGAAACACATTTTCTTTTTGCGCTTATTCATATACAACTACACCCTCGAGGGATTTAGTCAGACAGTCTTTTATAATAAAGTCATCCATAAATACACAATTTGCATCGTGCTAAATCTTGACACGTGTTCGAGTCCATGGTGTGGTAAAGAATGAACGCTAG